AATGAAAAGTGTAACCGACTCTGGAGTTCTTCCATGGAAACAGTCTGCTGTATTGGAACTAGTATCTACCCATGTTCTGGCTACTAGAGATGTTACGTTGGGACTTGGGAGCTGGTAGATCTTCTGGTTCTAAGAGACTTCATGCTTCTTAAAATCATGCTTAGCCTTCCCTTTTATCATCCTCGGGTCAGTCAGTGGCTCCTGCTGCTCAAGGCAGGCAAAAGAGTTCTTGATGCCAAACACTATCTCACCAGTTAAGAAGAAATCTAAGTCTCATCATTCTGATGTTTCCAAGCTGACTCCTTCTAAGAAAGATCAGCACCATATCTCTTTAGGAATTATGTAAACTTGCTATTCTGCTTCGGTACCAAGTTGATAATCCTTATTGACCAACACTGCTACTTCAGTACTGGGGATAATGGTACTATCTGTTACTGATTTGTCGGTACCATGTTCTATTGTGAAGGTCCCTTCATCTGAGATTTCTACATTGAATTGAGCTTGGTATCAACTGCACTGGTACCCACTCCTATTGCAACTCAGACTCTTTTTACAACTTCTATGGCCATAGTCATTCCCCCAGAACCAGCACCTCCTCTCCTAGACACTTCTCTGATTTCTGTGGGCTCTGTCTGTTCCGAAACCAGAAATAAGGGTACAGATTATGAAAATCTTCCTGCAATCATCTTCTATGATACTGGCATTGGTGTCTCAGAGACTGGAGTCTGGACTTCCTCATTCTGTGGGAACACTTCAGAAATCTGTACCACTAATGGAGAAGTTCTGCTCATCTGCATCGTCTTCATTTTATGGCAATAGAAATCCTTCTAGATTTTCTCTTCATTCTTTGTTTGGTTCCTGAAAGGGATTTACAAAGGAGCCCCTCTTGTTGTAGATCTTATGCTTTGGACCGGTCTCAAGTATCTTGGTTTCTACTTTTATGGCATCATATGTCAGGGACTAAGGCTTGGGCAAACAAGTCTAGTGGTTAAAGACACAGATGGTTGGGCTGGAGAAGGTTAAGCCAGAGTCGGTAGTTAGGGACCAGAGCCAAGGGTCAAGGCTGAGTTGATAGCCAAGGAGATTTTGTATGACTCATATCATTTCAAACCTCCTCTCCCATCCAAAAAACTCAATAAAAGTGTTCCTGAGTTTGCTGGGGCACATGGCAATATGGACATAACATGACCCTGTATTCAAGGTTAAACCTCTGTCCTTTCGTAAGGTTGGATGAGGTCAGTTTCAGCCAATCAGGCACAACTTGGACTTACTTATAGAAGATCCTCAGTATGCATTGTCATCTCTCTTTTGGTGGACAGACCCTCTGAATGTTTGCCAGTATATTTGCTTTCATCCTCCACCCCCTTCTGAGCCTCTGGTGTTGAATGCATCTGTGATGGGGCATCTGCCCCACACTAGCCCATAAAGGGTTAATAAAACCCTAGGGAGGCTGCGCAACAGGCAGCCAATTGGGAGGACCGATGGGAGACTGTGCAGGAGACAGCCAATTGGTGAGGGCTATGAGGAGAAGCCAATCAGGGCCGGGCAGGCCCATTTAAGAGGAGCTGCAGGGCAGAGTAGTTCAGTTATTCCCTGAAGCTTGAGGAGGGAAGAGAACTGGCTGCCTTACAGGTAGAGGTCAGCTAGCAACTTGGACAGAGCAGTGCTGGGCAGGATCAGGGAGTGAGAGCGGGTCGGCCTGGGTTGTCCCCCCTCCCATCCCTATTGGCCACTGAGGAAGTGCCTGGACAGTGGACTATGGTTCCCCCGGAAAGGGGGAGAACAGACTGTGGTCATTGGGACAACTCGCATCCTGGAGTAGAAGTGACGGCAGCGAGATGTCACCAGAGGAGGGTGCACGGGTGGACTAAGCTAATTCCCAGGACAGCCAGCAGGAGGTGCTATGATGCGGGGTACACTTGGGTTTTCTTCAAATTCAGGGTAAGTAGTCCAAGGCAGAGTCTTGGTTACACATAAATGTACAAAAGCTCAAGGTTGTTAGTCTAACCTGCAAGGCATTTCTGCCTCTCCTTCAGGGGCCCACTACCTAAAACATAAAGGACAATACACCTATACAGTATATAAACAATCAAGGGGGAGTGAGATTATCCCCTTCTGTCAGGAATCAATATACCTCTGGGACTGGTGCATCCAACATTGGGTTGGGCTAATAGCTTTCCATCTCCTGGGTACCCAGAATTATTTGGCAGATCAGCTGAGCAGGAAGAGCTCCATTACTCATGAATGAGAGTTAAAAGATTCTGTTCCATACTAGGTATTCCTAAAATGGGGAGTTCCCTCAACAGACCTGCTTGCTACAGTACAGAAACATATTTCCCCCACCCCCTAGAAGCAGTGCAAAGGCTTGGGGGAGTCAGAGGTAATGGAAGAGCTGAGGGAAAGGGAAGTAATTGCTGGGAAGGAGCCTGGATGTGAAGTGGGAGAGTTGTTGGGTGTGGGCAAGAAAAGTATGGATCAGTTTTTTTTGGTGGGGAGGGATTGTTAGGGATCCCCCTATGCAGACCCTGGCTGACCCCTAGCCTCTCTCATTCAGTCAGGCACATCTGGCCCTGATCCCATGTATCCCTGCACCCCCATTCAGCACCCATCCCCCATATATCCCTGCACCTCCTCCCCCATCCCCATGTGACCCTGTGCTCTCATTCAGCCACCCCTCCCCCATGTCTCTGTACTCCCTCCTCCCTAACCCTATGTGTCCCTGCCCCCTCTCAGCCACCCCTTCCCCTGTCCCCTGTGTCCCTGCATGCCTTGTCCCCCCATCCCCATATGTTCCTGCACCTCCACTGCTATTCAGCCCCTGTCCATCTGTCCCCCCACTAGCCCTTCTGAACCCCATTCTGTGACCCCCCCCCCAGCAGTCCCATGTGCCCCACATTGTCCGTTCCCCCATATACGTCTCCTGACCTGGCCCCACGGGCAGGGCACTGTGAGGAACGCAGCCTCTTCTCTTTCCTATCCGTGTCTGGGGCTGCTCCCATTGGGAGCAGATGCTCTCTGTTCTGGCACAATAGTGTCCCTGGTGGACGAAAGGTGTAACTGCAGCATTTTCCATCAGAGTCTAATTTCTGCTGAGGAAAAAAAATTCTGTGCAAAACATGAATTCTGTATGTGCACAGTGGGGCAGAATTTCCCCAGGAGTAATTGATACAGAGTCCTTACCTGGATTTTTCATATTGGTGAAGGAACTGAGTATCTATTGGAGCTGTGTATGTGCCCTATATGCCTTCATGCTCCCTGTAGCAAGGGTACATGCACAGCTCCAATAGATACTTCTTGGTAAAATATTCTGGGCTGATGCATGCACACACTTACATTAGGATCCAAGCAGATAAAAGCATCTTTAAGAACTCCAGTTACTGTAAGGCAAGTAACCTCTTTATGGTTCCCTCAATAAAAGTAACTCAGTCCATATGAACTGTATGGTAGTATTTTATATTCTGATCACTTTCATGCCTTAATATATGTGTAGTGTGGCTGAGTTACAGTCGCTGTGGAAACCATATTTTTAGTTTCCAGATGTAGCGAAGCGAAGACTCATCGGCGTGGCGCCCCACTACACCAGACTTTCGTGCAATTTAAAATCTAAATGATAATGTTAATGTAGATATATTTATTTTTAAATTCTATTTTTTAAAATAAAAAAGAACTTTTATTGATGGTGGCAATCTCAATAAATTAATAAACAGACAAGGTAGCCCGGGTGGGGTGGGGGAGGAGGGAAGGACAAGGCCACATTGTTTATTGTAGCCACACTAAAAATCAAACTGTTTGAATGACAGCCTTCTGTTGCTTAGGCCATCCTCTGGAGTGGAGTGGTTGGGTGCCCGGAGCCTTCCCCCCCCACATTCTTGGGTGTCTGGGTGAGGAGGCTATGGAAAATGGGGAGAAGGGTAGGCGGTTATACAGTGAATGCAGTGGGGGTCTGTGGTCTTGTTGGCTTTCCTGCAGCTCCAATAGACGCTTCATCATGTCAGTTTGCTCCCCCATTAGCCTCAGCATTGCGTCCTGCCTCCGCTCTTCACGCTCACTTAATTCTTTCCTGGCCTCTGCCACTGAATGCCTACATGCATTAAGCTGTGCCCTATCAGTGCGGGAGGACTGCATGAGCTCGGAAAACATGTCATCACGAGCGTGGTTTTTTTCGCCTTCTAATCTGCGATAACCTCAGGGACGGAGATGATAGGGGGAGCGTAGAAACATTCTACGCTCTACGATTCTTGGGGGGACTGCATGGTCACCTGTGCTGCTGAGTGCTGCTGAGTTTGCTACGCTGACCAAACAGGAAATTAAATTCAAAAGTTCCCGGGGCTTTTCCTGTGTACCTGGCTAGTGCATCAGAGTTCAAAGTGCTGTCCAGAGCGGTCATAATGGAGCACTCTGGGATAGCTCCCAGAGGCCCATACCGTCGATTTGCGTCCGCACTACCCCAAATTCGACCCAGTAAAGTCGATTTTAGCGCTACTCCCCTTGTCGGGGAAGAGTACAGAAGTCAATTTTAAGAACCCTTTAAATCAACGGAACAGGGCTGGTTGTGTGGACACAGTCATTTTTAAATCGACCTAACGCAGCTAAATTCGACCCAACCCTGTAGTGTAGACCAGGCCTCAGACATATCACAAGCTGGTGTGAAAGTTCTGCCACAAAGCTCTGGGGAAGGGAATATTCCCTCTGGCCAATGAACACAGATGTGCTGATGAGCTCTGAGCTATCTCCAGCTGTTTTGAAAGAAGGCCATCACGATGTAGGGCTTTTGAAGACCAGGAAGAGACAAATGGGAGTAATCCTCTCAGACTTCCGCAAAAATACTGATACCTGAGTTGGTCAAGGTGTTCAGTGGAGAGGAATGTGAAGTACTCCCTCCCCCAGATGCTGAGTGGCTAAAAATGGGGGGTAAAGTTTGAATCCCAATTTGTAAAATAATTTAAACAATGAAACAATTCCCAAGAGGTGTTATTAAATTTATATCAGATGATACTTGCTTTCATATTTGTCTTCAGCAGGCTTTACAGGTTGCTGATTTTCTTCTTTTAATTTCAGCACCTCTTGCAGTTCTCTCCTGAAATTAGAAAATTCCGTATCTTTATTTGTATAAAATATGGTTGAAACAAGTTTCAAACATTAAATGCAATTGAAAATGCTGAAAAATACTGTTCAATATTAAGATACAGTTTGGCAAGCCTGCTTCTTCAAAGTGATTCATTACTAAATAAAAATCAATTATGATTTGTGTCCTTTCCTGGATGTTATCATTTTGACAAATGACAGGGACCAAAGAAAACATATTAGCTAGAGGATCTCCCCACACCAAATGTGGTTATCTGAGTTTAGTATTCATCAGATAATAACACTAAGGTAACAATGTATTGCAGGACTTTGGACCTACCAGAACTATTCTTAACTTTTTTTTTTAGTGCACTGTGTTAATGGATATAGGTTCAGATCTCCTTAATGTAAAATAGATGTGGAAATTTTTGTGACCATAAAAACAGTGCATGTTCTTGTAGAATATATTATCTTATATCAAATTACTTTTTTATTATTTTTATATTTTATGCATTCACATGTTACATTTTACCTTGTTTCTTCCTCCTCTTTTTGCTTTTTTAATGCTTCATCTGTAAGTCTTTCCAAAATCTTAGAATTAATTTCATCTTTATTTGTTAGGTACAGTCTGCGTAGTAAAAATATTCCTGCAATACAATTATACAAGAATAATATACTTTTGGCAATAATATAAAACTACTATCTCATTAGAATGATTATGCTTTTAAGGTATGAAAGCCCTTTTATAAATGGTTGACAGCTTAGAGAGACGTTTTTAAATTTTAGAAAAGAAGTGTGTACCAATTTAAATGACAGATATACCACTTTTGAAAATTGTTAAGCTTTGTTTTCCATGCCAACAGCCTAATAACTTGAGTGTGGGATATGGCAAGGCTGTGGGGGGGGATAAGTATTGAAATTTTGCATATCTCATATTTTAAACTGAAATTGCTGTTTTTCTAGTTTGTATGTGTGCCCATAGTTTAAGAATGACAAAAAAATTTAAAAAAAATAATGAAAAAAATATAAAATCCATGAATCCATATTACTGGTGCAGAGTATGCAGAAATAAAGACTTATGTCCTCAGTTCTGCAAAGCTCTAATCCATATGAGTAACTTTATTCACATGAGCAGTTGCATATTATTCATTTGGTTTGGCAAACAGATACAGGGATATACCGTTGGCAGGAATTAAATAGAGCTATGCTGATTTCAGGGATTCTCACAACAAAATTTTTGGTGACCTCAGAATGTGGCCACCTACTCTTGCTGGTGGCTGCTATGACATTTTTTCCTAAAATGCTTAATTAACTTTAGGAAAAACTAATACGTATGCACATTTGCATGTTCAAATCATAGTAACTTATTTATGCAAGTGTTGGGGTTGGTTTTTTTTTGCAAACTCAGTAATAAAAATAATACAGTTGTCTCTATTCTTTTCTGGACCCAAACAGAATAGAAACACAAATAAGGTGCTTTGCATGTTGTCTTTTTTGTTGTTGTTTCTTTTTTTTTTTTTAGACTTGCTAGCTAGTAAGCCTGCTTCTACTTTTCACAGCAGCAGACTTGTTAGCTAGCTGGGAGGCAGTAGAAAGTGATATTAACAAACATACGAATATCACTTTTCACAGCAGATTTACTCAGCCGTGGCAAGCCAGGAGACAAATTAAGCCTTGGATGGGGAGGTGGGTAGGGAGGCGGCTGGGGGTGATGGGGTGGATGGGTGAGGGCCAGGGGAGGCAGCAAGGACCAGGGGTGATGTGTGAGGGGCCGGGGACAGAGCCCATGGCCGGATCCCACTGCTGCATGGCTGGAGCCTGCCACCCATCACCCCAGGGCTGGAGCAGGAAGCCTGAGCCCCACTGCCCCAGGGAAGGTGGGGAACTCACACGAACTTTCTGCTCCTCTGGCATTTGTGGCTCCAGAGGGAGGCAGAGTCCAACCCATCCTGGTGGCCCAGGGGAGGGCCGCTGCTTTGTCCCCCCCAATCACCAGCCAGAAGGCTGTGGTGGCAAGAAAAGCCCCTGTTGGCCGCATCCAGCCACGGTGGCCGCATTTGAGAAACACGGATTTAGACCAACTGAGGGTGTGGCCTATGATACAATGACTCAAAGTGCTCTAGAAATGCAGAAGTGGGCTATTATTTCTATTAGAAGATACAAGTGGAAAGCAGACATAGCATCTGTAAACATTTACATCAACAAAACATTTAAAATAGTTAAGGGGATAATCCACTAATACAGCTATAAAAAAGCCAGAAACTACATAGTTTGTTCCTTAGCCATCTCTTGATTTTGATTTCTCCACATTACCTTGCTCGTACCCAAACACACAGGGTTCCTTCTGTCACCTTCACACAAAACATGCAATTTTAAACTCTGTCTTTATTGAAGTGGTTAGAAATGTATGTTATTTAGTTGCTGGGAATACTGAATTGGTGCTGCATTGAAGAAGATAGCTAGTTTGTGTATGGTGTAGATTTTTAGTTGATTGTTGTGTTTAAGTGTGTTGCTTGTTTGGATAATTGTTAAATAGCAGCAAGTGTTTTAAGTGGAAATTATTTGTAACAATAGTTAGCATTTTCAGAAGCTGCCATTTGCAATGTTTCTATTAGATTTCTGTTAGTCTGTAACAGCAAAAACAATGAGGAGTCCTTGTGGCACGTTAGAGACTAACAAATTTATTTGGGCATAAGAGTTTGGGCACTAATAGAGTTATTTAGGTGCTGTAGTGAGGAAGTGTGACGTTATCTGATTAAATATGACCATGTAGATCATTGTTGCTACCACTGTTATATAATTGCAACAAATCTTGTACAAATTATGTCAAGTAAGGTGTCTATGGAATGGTTATGATTTGCTGAATATGATTATGCTATTTGTATGCATGTATCATTTTTGTATTTAAAGTTATGAGCATCTATACCTATATTTCAAATGTTTGCTCCTGGGGTAATTAGCCTGCACATCTTGAAGGGACTATTCAAATTAAGTGGCTCATCAAGGAACACTTAACTCACAATGGACCATGGGAGACGCCTATCTACACTTAATGGACTTTCCTGCTGTGACTAAGCAAAATCATTCATGGACATGTTTGCCCATGTGACTCCAAACACCATCTTGCTACCTGTAATTTCCCACTAGCTGTGTTGAAGCCTTTGTTTGAAACAATGGATTTCCCTCCACATGGCAGAAGCTATAAAAGGCCCTGAAACATCTCCATTTGGCCTCTTTCCTGCTCAAACCTCTGGACTATGGACTTACAGTAATGGGAGCATTCTAACCAAGGGATTGAGGACCTTCCAATGATTTGGAAGCAACCAGAGACTTGACTTAAGACAGCAGTTTATTCCATCACTGCTACAAGCCTGAACCAAGAACTTTGCAATTATTGTATGTATTTGATTCCTTTAACCAATTTTAACTCTCACCTTTCTTTCTTTCTTTTTATAAATAAACTTTTAGATTTTAGATACTAAAGGATTGGCAATGGAGTGATTTTTTGGGTAAGATCTGCATTATATATTGACCTAGGTGTGTGGCTGGTCCTTTGGGATCAGAAGAATCTTTTATCTGATGAAATTGGTTTTAAAGAACCACTCATCGTTAAATCTAGTGTTTTTGGTGGTGCTACAAGGACTGGAATGCATAGGAAACTGCTTTTCTGACTTCTTGTTAGCCAGTGTGGTGACACAGAAGTTTACTTTTGTTGCTGGTTTGGTATATCTCATGGGAGAATAATCTCCAGTTTTGGGGTGTGTCTGCCCTATTTTTTGGCAGGTTGTCCTGAATTTGGTATTCTCAGTTGTGATCCACTGAGGCACGGTTACAGGAGGTGTGCTGTTATGTTTGCCAGTATCTAGGTTTGTGGCTGGAATTATGTTTGCATGTTTTGTGTGGATTCCAGGGGAGGAGACCTGCATTACAGACAAAATTATAAAAAAAGGCAGGGAGAGAAACAGATCCTTTTTGATATAGAGGCAAAGTCCTACAAAATTGCTAGTGGGATACAAGTACACTTTAACTGACATTTCTTATAACAATACCTCAAACAAAGACATCAAAATTGGGAAAAGATTTTAATTTTTATGCTTTAAAAGTAAAACATTTACTAACCATTTTTTTCTATATTCTTAAGACAGACGACAGTGTCAGGTAAGAGGCCTTTTTCTGACAAGACTAACCAATGCTCTGATGTTGTAGGATAGTTATCCAGTACCCATCCTCCTTTTTCTGGAGCCCCAGGAAACCTGTCTTTGTTCTTCTTAGTGAGCTGTTACAAAATGTTGGATTTAGTTGTAAAACAAAATGATATAAATACAATAACATCAGTGAATTGTTTAGAAAAACAGACAATACAAATTTTTTCTGCATTGTATTAACCTGTTTCAATGTCATTTTTCTTTCCAATAAAGGGTCTTTTTATTAGTTCTAGAAGAGATTTGTAACTTATGGGCCTGAGTGAAGAAAGAATATAACAGAACAAATGGAGATGAATGTATAAAAATACACTGTAGTTTTCCAAAAATAACTACAGAGAACTTAGATTCAGGTCTCAGGAATAAGTTACAAACTGGCTAGCAAATCTAAAATAAAGACCCTTGTATAAGCCTCTGGTCATATGAAATATGTAGACCATTATACAGCTTTGAAACACATCCTAGTGACTTTTTAAGCACTTCTCTGGACTCTTCAGATGCTCATAGAGAAACAAACAGGGTTTAAGCCATTCTGTTACAGCAGTAGCTATTGGGGACTTCAGTAAATTTTTCTTCTTCCCTGCTCAGAAAAAAAATAATTTCTTTTCAAATAATGTGTTTGTCTGTCTGTGTTTCAGTTCTTTTCGTAGCCCTTGCTTCTCCCTCAAGGGCTAATCTGTGGCATTAAACCATGTCAGGTAAAGATCAATGCACATCTAATAAACCTACTCCTTTCTAGGAATCTTCAGATATCAGGGAAAATTCAGACCAGCTGTAAAACAGCACTGATTTTTCACCAGATCTGAAGTTAGCACTGTATGTTGGGAGATCCTACCAAATTCAACCATGACAGCAGATGCATTCATGCTCTTTTGCTCTCATTAGGGCCCTTCAAGTATATTGCTTCCAGAGCACCCCATATTAGAGCCATAGCCACACAAACCATATTGTAGATAGTATCAGGGGGTAGCCGTGTTAGTCTGTATCTACAAAAACAACGAGGAGTCTGGTGGCACCTTAAAGACTAACAGATTTATTTGGGCATAAGCTTTCGTGAGTAAAAACCTCATTTCTTCGGATGCATCCGAAGAAGTGAGGTTTTTACTCACGAAAGCTTATGCCCAAATAAATCTGTTAGTCTTTAAGGTGCCACCAGACTCCTTGTTGTTTTTGTGTTCATATTGTAGATACAGTAGGGTACCTACCTACACAACATCTGAAAGGGAAGGCCCACTCCCACAGTCCCTAACTGCTTGATCAGAAGCAGAATTCCAAAGAATTAGATAGAGAGAGTGTGACTGTGGATAAGAGAGCTAAGTCACCAATTACTTCAGTTACAGGTGAATAATATTGTTTTCTCCTTCATCAGGGTCTCTACTTCTAAAGTTTATTAAGCAAGATTACTTGAAGGGGAGCTGAAATATATCCCAAATTAAGAAGAAACTGCATAACTACTTTTCTGAGGCAGGCCTATCTTCAGAGTCTAATACTGCTCACAAAAAATGTAAACTGAACTTTGTGTTACAGTTTTGCAGATTTCTAAGATTGACAAAATGGTAGTTACACTTTAAAAGCTGTGGTAGCTTAAGTGGAATGAGCATTACTCTTTTGAGAAAAGAAAATGCATTAAATACATCCAAATGCAAGGTTATGCATCTAGGTACAAAGAATGTGGAATCCAGACCAGTGAATGGTTGTGTCACCACCTGCCCTGTAACCCTGCATGCCTTAAATCCTTTGCTGCTGTGCCTCACAGCCCAGACACCAACAGCCAGCAGACAAGTATGCAGTCCTCTGAAGTGTTTGTGTGCTTTGCAGCTGTGATTCAATACTCTGACCCCAGCATTCTGCCTACAACACAACAGCCCAACTCTAATCTCTATCGCCCAGTTATCTTATGCAGAAGTGACCCCAGACACATTCCCAGACCTGAATTTCCCCAAAACCATCTTCCATGAAGTGCCCAGCCCTCTCCTGGACTATTCAGAGAAAGAATAATGTTCCTTTGCTCCTTTAAAGAGACAACAACTAGCAGCTTACCATATTAACGGGAGTTAATTACTTCTATTCAAATACAGCACTGCGTTGGTTTAGATTAAAAGTAAAACAAGTTCATTAACAAAAGGACATAGTTAAGTGATGCCAAGTAAAAGAAATAAAGGTAGAGATGGTTACAAGCAAATAAAAAAGTGAAAATACGCTTTCTAATAACTAAGACCTAATTTCAGCATCTTACAGTCTTTGTTCAAGATTGGTGAGGAAACTTAAAAAGAACATCAAGAGCTTGCTTGGTTACGATGTGTAAGTACCTTCATAGGGAGAAAATACCAGTTTCTAAAGCACTCCTCAAGCTAGCTGAGAAAGGCCTAACAAGATCTGGTGGCTGGAAGCTGAAGCCAGACAAATTCAAATTAGAAGTAAGGAACAAATATTTTTAACAATGACAATGATTAGCCACTGGAACACACTACTAGATGAAGTGGTGGATTCTCCTTCTTTTGATGTTGTCAAAACAAGCCTGGATGCTTTTCTAGAAGATATAGCTTATCCAGGGAATCGGCAACCTTTGGCACGCAGCCCACCAGGGTAAGCACTCTGGTGGGCCGGGCAGGTTTGTTTACCTGCCGCCTCCGCAGGTTCGGCTGATCGCGGCTCCCACTGGCCGCAGTTCGCCGCTCCAGGCCAACGGGGGCTGCGGGAAGCAGCGGCCAGCACATCCCTTGGCCCGCGCCGCTTCCCGCAGCCCCCATTGGCCTGGAGCGGCAAACCGCAGCCAGTGGGAGCCACGATCAGCCAAACCTGCGGACACGGCAGGTAAACAAACCAGCTCAGCCCGCTGGGGTGTTTACCCTGGCAGGCCACGTGCCAAAGGTTGCCGATCCCTGGCTTAGTCAACCAAAACATATTGGGCTCAATAAAGGGTTAACTGGGTTAAATATTATTGAGGAGATTAGACTACATGATCCAGTGGTCCCTTCTGGCCTTAAAATCTCTAATTATTTTTGCTATTCTGGAGGATTCTTAACTCAAGCCCCAATTCAAGAAAGCCCTTAAGCGTGTATGTAAGTTGATCCCTATTCAAGAAAGCACTTAAGCACATACTTAAATTCCATTGACTTCAATGGGACTTAAGTAGGTGTTTAAAATTAAGCACATGTTTAAGGGCATAACTGAAGCAGGAAGCATTTCTGCATTGGGGCCTTACACCATATTCAGTCTCATTGATTTAACAGTAATCCTAGTCTTTTTAGAGTTTGGCCTGGAAGTCTTCTGTTTTAGAAGAAAACAATGGTGAACCCTCACAGCCTGATCCTAAAGTCCTTGCTTAGGCAATCATTGAGGAGTTTTGCCTAAGAACTGAAGAACAAGTTTTTCTAATAATAGATTTAAGAACCTGTCCTAGATTTCTGTGTTACAGCCTTAGCAGTGTAGTAAGGAATAGCCCTCTTAATTCACTATTATAGCTATAACCATCAATACAGTTGCTGAGTAAAATGGTATATTGTACTGTACATTGCTTAAGGGCCACATGGGAGAGATCCAAGCCTTTCTATACTGCTGCTCTGAGATTCCAATAGCATTAGAAGGTTTACAGTGAAACTAAAACAAAAATGAATATAAAAATAATAAAAGTTTGACACTCCTAATTAAAAGGCTACAAATATGACATTCTAAAGTAAGCTAGTCCACAGTATGTGTGGGATCAAACTGAGACTATATAATGTGAAGTATACTAGATTTACATTTCAAATGAACAATCTGAAAAGTAAATGTTGCAAGGGAATACATAAAATATTACAAGGAACTCTTAGAAATAATATTTGAATGTTTTGGTACTGCTATTTTTACCTCTGTAATGGCTTCCTCTAATACTTCAGCATATACTTCAGCCGGTAGCATTATTGGAGATTGTGCTGCAATTTTTACAGCTTCTTCTACCAAAGCTTGAACTTCTGGGTGATCAGCAGTTACCTCTGACTCTGATGTATCTTCTATTGTGTTTGCAAGGAATTAATTAATAATAAAGATCGCCAATATCTTACATTTTACACAGTGTTTTTCATCTAAAAGGTTTATAAAGCATTTTACAGATTTTACAAATTAGTGTGTACTAATTTGGAGTCATTTAAATGACCTCCAAAATACAGCCAATTCTGAGGTGGAATGCAGCAACACTACACAACAGTTTTGAAGAAATTACACAACATGAATTGAAGAATATTCCCTCCAAATGTATTTAATTATTTAATAATGACAACTGAAGACCTTGATTTTATGTCTCATTCAAAAGATAACCTCTTACACAGCACAATGACCCCTAACACCAGAAGGGGCATTAGTTCAATATTGACTCAGGGAGAAAAGTGATACCAACTGAATCACCACTACCACTTCCTTTAGCACCCTCAGAGCTTCTCTTGTGGGTTTCCTAGTCAAAGTGTTAACCTGCTATGATCCAGTATAGTATGTTAGAAATAACAAAAATCATAACGCAAGGTGGCACCTCATCAGGGGTAGTAGATTATTTTTCGTTGAGGTCAAAATGTCTTGGTCAAGATATAGTCAAGGTCCAGACTCCAGAGAAAATAATAAAAAATAATAATAATAGTTAATAAGTAAATAAAAATTTCAGGGTCTGTTCAAAAGTGGCTGGCGATCCAGATTTGGCCCGCGGTCCGCCTATTGACTGCCCTTGCTATAAACTATGAAGTCTATATTCCCAAAGATGTGTAAGTCAATTACATTGATTAGCACTGTGCATTAAATCATTCATTTATTGTACAACAGGAATAAAGATCCTAAAATATTTAACCATTTCAATATATGAGGATTTCAAGATAATTAATTTTTCCATATGCCTTGTTGATAAAATAGTAACAAAAATATACTGTGGAGTTACTTTATAAAATGCATGATGTATTGTATGAACAGTACCGTTTGACAAAAATGCCAAACTCACATTTGGAAATCTAATTATATCAAGATTTTTCATTATTTGTCGGTGTTTAATTTTTGTCCCACAGAGATCTAAACATTATCAAGATATCTGCATTAAATTATAATCTCTTTGGTCCAGAGAAGATGTCTCTGTCATATCTGTACATTGGAAAACAGACAATTATAATTAAAAATATTAGTACCATTTAGTTCTTCTGTCGTTCCTTCTCCATCGGTTCTGGACATGGAAGTATCCTCAGTGGTGTCTTTAGTATCCACTATAGTTATCAGATATCATAACATTAAAAGAATATTATGATTAAATGAAAATACATTTTTGTCAAAAAGTAGAAATAATACATTTAGGTAAATTTGCATTTCCTTTATAGAGACGTCTATGTTACACAATAAGCAGCATATTACAATCATAATACTAGTACTTCAAGAATAATGTTAAACTTGATTATTATAGTTCAAATTATATTTTAATATAATCCAGTTCATGGATTAATTTTGTAATTGGTAACTCTTGCACAATTTACCAAGGGGTTTGTGAGATTCAAGTGATGGCTATGTATAATGGTAGAATTGCATTTCCATGACATTGCTAACATGGAAACAATACTGCTTAATATTTTGTATGCAGTGCCATGTACTTTGTGGTAAGATGGACCTAAATTGTGCCGCAAAGTTTCTAGATACTGTAGTGTTCTGGTGAAAGTTGTGTAACAGTTTCAGATACATTTTTAAATTTGTGAGTTTTAGTGAATTAAATATTAAAAAAGAATAGTTCAGTCAGTACAGTAGCTTTTATGTTATTTATTTTGATACTGAATTCAGGGTTGCTTTTTTACAGTGTTCCAATATTTTCAGTTTTTAATATGTTATAGGTCATCTTTAGGTTTAAAAGTTAACATTAAAATGTGTGAGATAGTTCACGTCACTCAAATCTATTGTTTCAGGCTGGCTGAAAAACTAAGGAAGGCTCCACTGCACCTATTTATACATGGTTCACATTTTTCAAGCTTTTCTTCCCAACCATGAGGTCTAGAAATACGATTTTTTTTTTAAAGGAAACTCAGATTCTGAAGCACAACTCTGCAGTTAGGGATGAATTCTATGGCAAATTATGTGGGTGTGGAGTCTGAAGGGCCATGATTATGCATTTGAAAAAATATTTTTCAAGTTTTTCCACATACTTATACAAAGTGTTCACAGAGAGATCATCCACTAAACATTCTTCCAACAGTCTACCACAAGCCCCCACCTAGCATATTCAACTGGATATTTCATCATATTGTAATGTCTTTCAGTGATACACGAAAAATCATGGGCCAAATTGGTCTAATTCCACTGAAATATTGGAGTTATACTAGGAATTAACTTGGCTGCCTGTGTATTATAGCAAATGAAAAAAATAAATCAATAAAATATTATGATCGAGAAATAAGTCACACAAAATCCGGAAATCCAAAAAGTTAGGTTTCTAACACAACATTGACTCAATCACATGGAGCTCCACTCAAAGACTGCTGAAATCAATGAGAGTCATTCTAATTCTTCAATGGGAGTTGGTTTGGATTCATGGTCCATCATGTGCTCCTTTGTATACAATGAGTTAGGGAGACTTTCCTTATTCAATATTTACTTGTACTTTGAATTGGACAATGTTTTTCAAAAGTGTATAGTACAGGCTAAAATTCCACCCAGCTTTGTTGTGCTCATGTGCCATACCAAGAGAACATGGGCAGAGAATGAAGTTATTTAAAAACTCTGGTTATTAAAACATTGAAGGCATGTTTCAATCATGTTTTTTAAATGCTCACAACTTGTCAAGTTTTGAGAATTTAAAAAAACATAGGTTTCAGAGTAGCAGCCATGTTAGTCTGTATCCGCAAAAAGAACAGGAGTACTTGTGGCACCTTAGAGACTAACAAATTTATTAGAGCATAAGCTTTTGTGGGCTACAGCATCCGAAGAAGTGGGCTGTAGCCCACGAAAGCTTATGCTCTAATAAATTTGTTAGTCTCTAAGGTGCCACAAGTACTCCTGTTCTTTTTAAAAAAACATAGTAGATTTTGACTAGGTCACCAAAAAACACATGTCCAATCTAGGGATTCTGTCCCTGACAAATTTCAAGTTCTAGCACCTCAATGAGAAGAGTTAAAAATAATGAAAAATAATTTAAAAAATGTTTATAACGTCAAAAGGTGTATTCCCCCCACACCCGCCCACTGTCTCTTCAGTCTCAAAAGCTGCCGAACCATTTTGGCTCAAAGTTTCAGAAGCATTTCATTCTCAATCATAAACCAGACATGAAAAATAATAAAACCAAAAGATTGAAGTTTGAGTAAGTTATAAGTAACTGACAAAGGCCCTTTAGAATGCTAAATGCCTAGGGGGGAAGACGGTTACCTACCTTTCCATAACTGCTGTTCTTCAAGATGTGTTGAACATGTCTATTCCACTGTAGGTGTGCATGCAACTTGTGCACAGTTATCAGAGAATTTCCCTTCAGCAGTACCCACTGGGGAAGCGCGAGCGCCCTCTGGTCCCTGACGTCATTGCACGCAGATATAAAGGGCAATGTTGCCCCCAGACTCCGTCAGTTCCCAATGGAAAGACTCCAATAGAGAGGGGAAGGAGGACAGGTTGTGAAATGGACATGTGCAACATATCTTGAAGAACAGGTTATGGAAAGGTAGATAACAGTTTTTTCTTCAAGTGATTGCACATTTCCATTCCACTGTAGGTGACTCTATGCAATTCGAACTGGAAGTGGGCTTGGAGTCTACTTGAAGAAGGATTGTAGCACCACTTGTCCAAATCTGGCATCGTCTTTAGACTAATGAGAGATGGCATAGTGAGAAGCAAATGTATGGAGTGATGACCAGGTTGCCACCAGGTTGCTATCCTACAGATATCCAGAATGGGAATATAAGTGAGAGACTGCAGAAGTCACCTGAGACCTGGTCAAGTCGCCCATCAGTTTACACGGAGGTGCAACATCAGTCAATTGGTAGCATAAACCAATACAGATGAAAATCTAGGCAGAGATCCTCTGGGTGGAGACTGGGTGGCCCTTTACTCTATCTGAAATCACGATGAAGAGTTGAGATGAAGACCTGAATGGTCTAGTCCGATCCTGGTAAGAAGCAAAACTCTTCTAACATCTAGAATATGGAGTTTTTCCTTCTTTACTTGAATGCGGCTTTGGAAAGAAAGTTGGTAAAAAAAAATCACTTGATTATGTGAAATTTGGAAACCACTTTAGACAAGAATTTAGGGTGAGGTCAAAAGAAAACCTTGTCCCTAAAGAAAATTGTATAGGGAGGCTCTGATACTAAAGCCTGCAGCTCTTCTACTCTCCTGGGTGAGGTTATAGCAACCAAAAGCCACCTTCAGAGACAGGTGTAACAGAGAATAACTCACTAGCGACTTAGAAGGGGGACCCATCAATTTAGCAAGCACTAAATTCAAACCTCTATGTGGAACCAGGCAATGAACCTGAGGGTATAATATGAGCAAACCCTTTAGAAATCTGATGGGCATAGGATTTGAAAAAGTTGATCAGTTATCCACAGTAGGGTGGAAAACTGAAACAGCTGCCAGATGGACTCGGATGGAACTAACAGCGAGGATTAGCTCTTTCAAAAACTACAAATAGTCCAAGATACGGCAAATCGGAGCTTGAGCTAGGAGGATGCCTCTTTGTATGGACCAGATGCAGAATGTCTTCCATTTAGTAAGGCAAGTTGAATGTTTCCTGCTATTTAGTCACACTTCCTGCATCCTCTTAGAGTAAACTTGTTCTGAGGTTGTCAGCCATGACGCATCCTGCTGTCAGGCAGCAGGCGTGAAGGTTGGGATGAAGGAGGTGGGCTGTGGTCCTGGGAGATCATATCCACGTTTCTCGGGAGCAACAGTGGAAGTCTGATTGATAGGTTAGTAGAGTCGAAAACCAATGAGTTAAGAATAAGGTGAGTGGAATCTTGCTTGACTTTGGATAAGACTTTAGGCAGGAGCAGAATGGAGGGAAGGCATACACCAGGACTTTTGGCCAGGGCAGGAGGAAAGCATCTGTCAGCAAACCCAGGCTATGACCCACACGGGAGCAAAAAAAAAAAAAAAAAGACATTTTTTGTTTTCTCTTGTTGCAAATAGGTCCGCTTGGGGAGTTCTCCACCACTGGAAAATGGAACTGGACCATTCATGGTGACTTCCAAAAGACCTGCTCAGGCAGCCTGCCAGAGTATTTTGAACTTCCAGAAGATAAGCAGCTTTCAGGTTGATGGAACTGGCAATGCAGAAATTCCAAAGGATTGCCTCCTGGCATAACTTTGTCGATCGACACCCTCCCCCCACCCATTGCTTGTTTACATGGTTGATAAGCTGCTGTGTTCTCTAAGCGTACCAGCAAATTCCACTACCTGATATGTGGAAGGAACACCATGCAAGCCAGATGGATGGCCTGGAGCTCCCTGATATTTATATGGAGACTTAGATCCTGGGAAGACCAAAGGCCTTGACTCTGAATGGGACCTGAGTGAGCTCCCCAACCTAGATCTAATGCATCTTGTGACTAGGGTGAGAGTCTGCTGAGGAAGGGCAAAGGGAACTCTCTCGCAAACATTCATAGGTTCTACCAGCCGTCCAGGGAAGACAAGACCTGAGCAGTTACTTGAACCACCATGAGTATATGTTGACAGGCCAGTGAGTACACTGAGACTATCCAACTTTGTAGATCTCTAAGGTGTAGTCTGGCATGCTGCACCATGTAAATGCATGCTGCCATGTGTCCTAGAAGTTTGAGGCAGTTCCAAACTATGGTAACAGGGTGTACCTTTAGATCTAGAGCAATGACCTGCATTGTTTAGAACCATGGCTCTAACAGGAAAGCCCAGGTCTTTGTAGAGTCCAGGATTGCCCAGTGAATTCTATTCTTTGAACAAGGATGGATTTCTCTGTACTGATTAGAAGTGCCAACACATCAAAAGTGGTTTGAATAATGTCTACGTTGGAGAGTACCTGAGACTTGGTCTGGCATCTTACTAGGCAGTTGTCCAGATAAGGAAGAGAAAGTTATTCGCCTTGTGCAGTAATGGAGGTTCTTCTAGATGTGAGTCCCTGTGGGTGCTCCACTTTAGGTGTTGATGCACCCCTGCACTCATAACCAGAGATTTATGGTAGTAGTGCCCGGTTGGGTCGCACATGGACAGTCCCCATCTTGCGCTGGTTCAGGCAGTTAACTGGCGCTGTGTGACCAACACCCGCCCCC